TCACGAGCTCCACCCACCCACGCGTCATCGTCGTACATGCGCAACCCAAACGGTTCGCGAGATGACATGTTCGCCAAACATCGTAAAACGGCCCGCACCGTAATCAATCTGGCTGCAATTAGCAGACGCACGCCCGCTGCGAGAGTGTGGCTGAATTTACGCCCGCGCTCACCGATGAATTCTACCAGGAGGCAGCTCCGTTTACCGCGCACATTCCGTCGTCACAAACGCAATTGATAACGCGCATATACGCAGTGTCATCGGAATGTAAGATGCGTAAAAGCAGACGATCTTAAATCATATTGTCGTATCTATTATTAATGAATCTTTTAACCTCTCAAACTGGAGAACAAAAATAATCATTCTCTACAATTCTTTGAATTCGAATCTCGAATCTTCAAAATCGGACTTTGTCGCGTCATAATTTTGACAAAATTTAAAGAAGTTAAAGTTACATTATAAAAAAAAGAATAGGATTACTTTAACATAATTTATCACAAATTAATAGTTTTAATACAATATGTAAAATTTTTATTCCTAAAATTAAATATATTATTAAAACTTGTGTAACCCTTAAAAAAAATTGAGATAATAAGATTATCGCGAATAAACGATAAAAGAACATTTTGAAAGGCCAAACTCATATTCAGCGTAAAAAAACCCACACTATATCTTTTTCTTATGTATTTTTTTATTAAACTATCTTATTGTTGCTTATAAATAATGAGATTTTTTTTAAATATACGAGGCTTAAATAATATAATTTTTCTATTATATTATGCGATTTATATTTTCATGAAATAAACAATCGCGTAAAGTTTCGCTCTTTGACTGAAACTAAAATAAATACAGACTTCTATTGCCTAAAAGATAAAAACCTAACTGTTTTTTTTTACGCGAAAATAAAAATTAACTTATCAAAAACATTAGACTCTAATTTCAGAGCAATTTAATAATTTACTGTTTTATTGAACATCGCTTTCCAAGTGTAAATTTTTTTTGTCGGCATTTCTCTCATAAATATATTTTATTAAAGTTACATACATACACACACACAATAAGACAGAAATATAATTTTATTGCAGAGGTCATTCAGAAAGTATCCCTACATGTAACAATAGCATTTTACAAGCAACACGAAAATGTCTTTTGCTTTGTCATCACTTGATTTAAGATAGAGTGTTTTACCTGCACTTTTGATTTATCCTTCAATAACTAGTATCTACCACCCGCCATCAACTTCGTCAGCAAATAAGGGAAACACTGCAGGAAGGCTATTTGAAACATTCTGACTCATAACAACCTTTGTAAACACACGCATTCATCTGGTCCTTCGCCAATGCGGCACGTAATAGAGGGACACAGATCTGCATTTCCTATTGTCACCGATCAGTCCTACTTATTACAGAACAATACAAATATTCACTCTCACTACGACGATCGAATTATCGAGCAAATTTAATAAGTATTTAATTCTTAAATTTAATAATTCTTTTTATGTTTAATATGTCTAATATTTTATTTTAATATAATCGCGTTTATATAGAAGCCTATAAAAATATTTCTAAATGTTTGTACCACAAAACTATATATAATGATGAAAGATCCAAAAGAGATAACAAATTTCGTACATGAAATCAATACTATTATTTAAATTATAGGTTTTTCATATTCTCACGTCATATACACTTTTACGAAATAACACCTCGATATTAATATATCTCGTTATTCTACATATTCACTCGCATTCTTTATATCATGATTATTTTTTATATGATAAATATTTTAATTCAATTCGCGCAAAGATGATCAATCCACACACAAATTCTGATTAAAAAATTCTTCGCAAAACATCTATTAATGACAATCTACGATTTATATCTGCAATATCTACGAATCCGTTATCTCAAAATAAAATAAAGATTTGTCACTCACCGACCGACATCGCTCGGCAACAGCAGAGTTGACGGCATTGATGCTGCGTTGATCTGTAACATACAAATAGAACATCTAAATTATTTTAGCAGCCGAAAATAATTAATATTTCAAAAAGTTTCTATTGGCGCTTTATGAAAAATATATATATTACTGATGTAATAATCTTGAGTAATTGCATTTCTGTAATAATTATCAACTATGCTTATTACTTCTTACTTTGACCGTTACATTTCCTGAAAGAGCGTTAACGTACAGCGGAGTGAGTTTGGAGATAATTGAAGAATGAACGGTCGGTATTACCGACCGTTTAGAATGCACTGAAGATAACTAAACGAATGTTTTAATTGTCTAGACACTGTTTTATCGTCCAAAATGTACAGATCTTTTAGTTTTGTTCAAACTATATAACGTTCACAAATTATTTAAAAATAAATACCTGTCATACTTGAACAAACTACTCTAAATTACTCTCTCGAGTATTTATTATATATTTCTACAAAAATGAATAAAATGTATAAATAAAAAACTTTTTGTGAAAAACATTCGTAGTTTTACAATAAATTATTGTAATATTATTTATATACATCTTATAAACAAAATAACCATTGCTGTAAAAGAATACATTTTTAAACGTTCACCTATATTCTTTCATGCAATTCCGAAGACGAAGTTATTTTATTTTGCGCATACAAACTGCAAAACTTTTATATTAAGCAAATATTGTTATGACCTGACGCAAGAAGCCGATAAAAAAACTGTAATTTTTTAGCTTTTCTTCGTTTTTAACATAAACTCGTGAAGTCTCATCTTTGTTTCGATGTGCACTTAAATCGTGGAAAAGGATTTATTATTCTATTCAACTAAAAAAAAGATTTCAATGTGCAAAATAATAATTTTTGGTCGGTAAAACAGACGAGCTTTTGGATCCCCTTAA